CCTAAGTAATGAGAAGGAAAAAGGTTATAAAATAGATAAGAGAAATAGAGATGGGAGATGAGTGGGAGATGAGAAATATGGATGAAATAGGATGTAATGGAAGAAACCCTAGATTAGGGTTGACCTAAGAGGTGTAGAAAAGAAGTTTTGAAAATATTTTAATGAGAAAGAATGGTTGGGGTTGACAAGGAATAATGTAACTACTAAGAATATATCTAAAACCCTAGGTTTCACCCTAGAGGAAAAGGAAAGGAAACAAAAAGTATAGAGAAGAAGATTGCTCAACTTGGGCTTTTATCTATTGTCAAGTTCAAGCGATTTACTCTGACAGGTTGATCTCTAGCACTTTACTCTTTGCAACTCGATCCTCAACACTCAACTTTGCCTTTAAGGCCTCTCCTAATTACTCAAGATTACATAGAAGAGGAGGAAGAATGGATCTTTAAAATAGAAGCTGTTTTACTTCAACCAACTACTGTTGGGGATCCTTCCACGAAGATGAGAAGAAAAAAGAATGAAGGAAATTTTCCCAAAATACCTTTAGCCCTTTCTCAAAATATCTTTAACTCCTTTACCTCGTATTCATAACCTTCTTGAAGCTGATTTTCGATCCGAACATGGAGATGTGAAGAGGACATCTTGAAGATTGTGCCCACAAAATTTGGGCTTGAAACCCCTTCTAGATCGCCAAATATCAATCCTAGAAGATGGAGAAATCTGGGCTGTTGATTGGGTGTCTCCGCCGCAAAAGGAGCACCGAAAGGTGACGGTTGAGAAGAGACGTCTTTAACCGCCGCTTACGTGACAAGACGTTCTTAACCGCCACTTTTAGTGGAAAAACGTGCTTAATCGCCGTTCCTAGTGGAGAGCATGCTTACGCGCCGTTTTTCGTGCGAGAACGTGCTTAGCCGCCACTTTTGGTGACAAGACGTAACTGCCGCTTTTGATGATGTCCTTAGTCACCAAAATAAGAGGTGCAATCATTGATGGCGGTCAACGTCTTCTCGGCTTCCGCGTGGGATACCTCGTCTTCTCGCATTCCGCGTAAAATGCGGCTTGAATAAAATATTCATGAATTTAAATAATCATACCGTCGCGATCACGACGGCGCATCAAATATATAAAAATCTAGCAGTTGACACGTGCATAAAATTTCAGAAAACCCCCTAGAATATGTCAAATAAAATATATGTATTTCCATAAATTACTTAAATATCCTCATAGCTTAAATATATCAAAGTAAATTCAAAATTGAATCATAAAAAATCCGAGAATATTTTTAAAATAGGAAATTCTCTTAGAATCATTATAAAATTATTATTTCGCTATTTTACATATGATAACATGCTAAAATAAGACATTTGATCCTAAAATATATTCACTTTAAGGTAATTAATGAGTAGTTTTAGCATGTTATCAATGATGCCTTCAACAATCACCTAACTTCACAATTAAAAGATAGTAGGAAAATTAAGCTACAATTCATCATCCTCTTGATTGAATATCTAGACAAACATAAGTTAATGGCATCATCTAGAAACAACATAGCCAAATCTTTCATTATTTTATTTTGGTAAAATTGTGATTAACTTCTTATTTAATGACTCAATGGAGCTGATCCCTGTAATTAATCCATCTCTCTCTCTCACACACCTACACACACACGCGCACACACACACACACACACACACACACACGCAATATCTCTCTTTCCCCCCCTCTTCTCTCTCTCGCTCTCTCTCTCTCTCTCTCTCACACACACACACACGCACACGCACACGCACACACACACACACACAATCTCTTCTCTCTCTCTCTCTGGATTTTCTCGCACAATTTGTTACAGCTTGTCGTTTTGAGAAACGGAGGCGAAGTGATTCAACGGAGGGATTGTCCAGAGTGTAGAGGGGCATCTTAGAAACGATATCACCTCAGCGGGAACGTATCGTGGTCTCCCTGCGGGCCTTCCTCCTCCTGGGGATTCCCTTCGGAGAAGAGCGTCCGGCTAGTCTGCAGTCATGACAACCGGTTCTCTCACAACAGAAAGATCCTCCGGCGCAGGAACAACCAAGGTATACTTCCAGTTAACTCCGCCTCAAAATATATGAAATTCTCCCCCGGAATAGAAAGAGACGTCCTTCCTGAGATCATTATTAAATATTGGTACGCCATCTCAACTGCTTTAAGCTTTGATGATTCGGCTATCGGTACTTTGACTCTCCACATCGACGTGCTGCAGGCGGAACAGCAGAGAGGGGACGAGGCCCCGACCATGCAGTGCTACATGCAAGAAAGGAAACCTCCCGGATGACGGTGATGCCCGCAGGCACAACAGAAGGCTGGTAAGCGCCACGTGGAAGGATCTCAGTGGAGACGGGATGGCTCCGCAGCCCACTGTCGTCGACGCCTGTTTCAACCTCGCGCGATTGGACGACGACCCCAAGGCCTCAAGCGTGGACCTAGTAAAAAGGCCATCATGTCGGAGATGATACGTAAGACATGATTTTTTAATAAATCGGCAGCAGAGGTAGATTCGCATCTGCATCTAAGATGAACGTTTAAATGTTTCCTTTCAAACAGGCTTCACTCGGAATATGCGGGAAATATCAAACTCCCCATGAATTGACACGGAGAGAGAGAGAGAGAGAGAGGAGGGAGGGAGAGAGAGAGAGAGAGAGAGGAGGGAGGAGAGAGAGAGAGAGAGAGAGAGAGAGGGAGGGAGAGAGAGAGAGAGAGAGAGAGAGAGAGAGAGAGAGAGAGAGAGAGAGAGAGAGAGAGAGAGAGAGGAGGGAGGGAGAGAGAGAGAGAGGAGGGAGGGAGAGAGAGAGAGAGGAGGGAGGGAGAGAGAGAGAGAGGAGAGAGAGAGAGAGGAGGGAGGGAGAGAGAGAGAGAGAGAGAGAAGAGAGAGAGAGAGAGCGTTATAACGTTACAGCAACCAAAATCAGATCAAAGTGATGGATACCTACAGTACTAAATAAAGGAACCTATGTGTCACGCCGCATGAGTTGTTTAGGATATTGATTGAGTCAGTGGCACATGGTAGACCCTTTCAAAAGCCATCTACATCCTGTCACAATAGCTGATCTGGGCGTGTTGAAAGTTTGCGCAGAATAATTAAGCCGGGTTATACTTGAAGATGCATCTTCTCGTTGTTGGGTTCTACTTGTTGGTGGATCATATGATAGCAAAATTTAATATTATTCCTGACGAGAACAACCATTAACAAGTGGTTACAATCAATTTGACTATTCACATATTAGTTTTCCTGAGATGCAATAAATTATGGACAAAAACTAGGAAAATGCAAAGTACTAGCATTCAAAATCCTCAAGAAATTAGGTCCAAAGTTTAGAGTGCCAAGAGGAGCTGTTTGTGGTACCAAATTGTTGTATCAGACTACAAAAGCTCCTCAAAGCCTTTTTAATGATCCGGAATAATACATGGAAAATAGGAATCTTGACCAAAGTCTAGAATAACAAGATAACTTGGCTATTTCAAATGATCTTGCGTCCAGGTTTAATTTTAGAGAACTACTAGTATCAAAGCATTGCAGGCATTGTAGGGAAGGGCTGCTGTACATATAAAGGTTGTAACCTTACTAGTGATCCTGGTGGAACCTTTTAGTCTATAACTGACCATGAGGCATATGCATCACCTAGACCTAACACATTCATCTAATATGTCTTCACTCACTCCAATCGCTTGCACTGAATACCAATCTCTTGCACTGCAAGTGCATGCCGTAATGTTCCAAGAGTTTTTACCTTGTTGATATTTTCTGTTTCCAATTCAGAAGAATCTTTCGTCTTTTTTACCTTTAATTTTTTAATTTTCCCATCTCAACATTAAGTTTTGGTTCTAACATTTTGTGTTGTGTCTAATGTTCATCTCCTTTCTCTCCTGATGTGATAACACATATGTTGATACCTGAACAAGGGAATAAGGAAAATATTCAATAAACTTTATCAACAATTTTAGTGGATATTCAGATATCTTGAACTTTTTAAAAGGTCGGCAGAATATGTCATTACCTTATAATATAATTACCTTATTTTAGCTGTTTCCTAAATCAAAATCTTTATGATCATCAAAATAGTTAACTTTGTAATCATAAACTTACGAAATCTAATATTCAATTTGTTAGGTCATTCGTGAAAATATGTATGTCTCCTGATATTTGTATTAGTAAATTTTTTGCTATCAATTTAATTTTAACTTGTTCTCTTATGTATTTTAGTTTGTACGACTATCACAAAGAATTTTGACATATTTAAAGGCTGACACATTGTGGCTGAAGGAGATGACCAATAATACAAATTTCGTAATCTTTGTAAAATTTCTTTTTACTCGTGGATTAATAAACCTATGTTAGCTTCAAAGGGTCTTTTCTTTGTCTGATGATGTATTGAAAGATCGTAAAAATTAATCTACGTGGCCTGGAGGATTGATGAATTTTATGTCTCACGTCTTGCCTTGTAGGTTAAAGGCCGGATTTTTGTTTCTCCGAAGCTTTCCTTGTATCACTTCCTTTCTGTGTACTCACCTACTCATATCTTGTGATTCACGTTGACACTGTAGGTATTGTCCATTGTTGAGAGAAAGACTAAAAATAATATTTCATGAAAAAAAAATTAGCTTCCCCCAGACATCATCCACATACCCTGGAAGAAGAGGTCAAAGCCACAAAGGGTTCGGCTTATCAAAGTGCTTTCTCCCCGGCAACCTACCTCTGAGTTCGCAGAGTTCTTTGGTGGAATACGCGGCCACATCGTACCACTGCATGAATAACTGTCTCCTGTATCACCTACGAATAGAAGAGAAGTGGAGCAGACAATAGGAGTGGAAAAAGAAAGTTCGAAGAGTGGGAGAGCACTCAATGTATCACGGGAGAGGCATCCGCTGTCGGGTTCTCTAATACTTGCCCTCGTAGGATACTCCTCTCTCTCGCTCTCTCTATCTCTCATACTTTCTGTCTCCCTTCTCGTCTCGCGTGAGTCTTCATGTCATTGTCTCTCTCTCTCTCTCTCTCTCTCTCTCTTGTTACTTTTCACGAGTCCTGGTCACCGGTCGTCATTATCACTGTAGCAATGCTGTTCATCTATTATTCAACTCTAATCAGCCGCATTCTCACGGCACCGGCAGCGAGTACTGTTCCGATACTGGTCAACGAGGGAGTAGGTCCCTAACAGCTTCTCTTTCATCTCATGCTTTTGTTTAAGATTTTCATATTGATCATAATTGGTAGAGAAAAAAGTAATATACGAGAAAAATAAATAATATACCATTGAATCGACGGACTGTACCTAGTTTAATTACCGTCTTAATGACTGAGTCAACCAGCCCATTCTAGGACGCGTGTGGCGTGAAGTTAGTTTACTTTTCCTTGGACATTGGTTGGCTAATGATGACGAAACTAAGCCTTCAGAAGGGGTCCCCATACCGCATAACACTTTCTGAGATCGACACCGAGTTGCTCAAGCCCTGAGAAACCTGCCGAAGCCGCGCTTCCCTCCTTTTAACGCCCACCCCTCAATCGCCTTCTCCCACCGACCGAGCGCGGACGAGAACGGAGTCTCCTCTCCCCTCCACCGATGCCCGCTCTTCCCGCTCCTAAAATGGGTACGGGCTCGTCTTCGTGTCCTTCTCTGGGTTGTGAGCAAAGGAGAGGGTTGTGGTTTCCGCGCACACGTCCTCGTCCTTGGTCACAAGCGACCATTGCCTTATACCCGCAACACTATGCCGATAGCCTTTCTCAGGTTCTCCCCCGTGACAACATGGTACAATCTCTCTTTCTCCCTCCCTCGGCTGTGTCCTTCTCTGTTGGTCTCACCCCACATCTCGGTGCATCTCTCTAGTGCCCTATTGCTACCGCGAGCTTTTTGGAGGACCAGGTACAGGTCGATCTCGGCCGGAGGAGGGTAGAACAGCTGAAGGAAGAGGTAGCGAGAACCCTGAACAGGAGTTGCGCCACGAAAGATGTTATACAGTGCGTCGACAAACTCCAGCATCTGGGGATCGCATACCTTTTCACGGAGGGTATTAAAAGTCTCCTGGATCGAATCGCCGACTCCACAGTTGCAGAAGACGAAGGCCTCTTCCATGCCGCGCAGCGGTTTCGGGTTTTAAGGAATTACGGGTACAACGTCGCCCCGGGTACGTCCCCTTCTCTCTCTCTCTGGCGTATTCGTCGTTACTGACGTGTCTTTTTGATTGATCTCCGTTCTATAGATTTATTCCACAAGTTCCTCAACAGAGAAGCAAAATTCAAGGACTCCTTGGCCGCGGACTGGAGAGGCCTTCTCAGCTTGCACGAAGCCTCTCACTATGGAACCAGCCACGAAGGGATCATGTCCCACGCCATGGAGTTCAGCAAGAAACATCTAAAGTCACCAAAGTCTCCTTTCACTCCTCAGCAGCTCGCTCAGATTAACCACACCCTCGAGCTCCCGAGGCACATGAGGATGGAAAGATTCGAAGCCTGGAGGCTCATCCAGGAGAGTACCCACCCAAAAGGGAACTCATCACCTCTCTTGGAGCTCGCGTCTCTGGACTATAACTTGGTTCAGTCACAGCACCAAGAGGAACTGGAGGAGTTCACAAGGTGGTGGAAGGAGCACGGTCTGGCGCATAAGCTCAGCTTTGTGAGAGATCGTGCACAGGAGTTCTTTCTGTGGACTGCGGGGATATTTCCCCAGCCCTCTTTCTCCAGGTCCCGGATAGAGCTCACTAAAAGTGTAGGCATGTGCCATCTTCTTGACGACTTATATGATCGCTATGGATCATTGGAAGAACTCACCCTCTTCACTGATGCCATCAAAAGGTTTGCAGGCCCGGGTAAAACAGTTTGCCTTCTTTTCCTCGTTGGCAGTTTCGTTAACTTTAGACTCTTTTCACTGGTTTAAGGTGGGAACTTCAAGCCATGGAAAAGTTGCCTGATGTTTTGAAGATATGCTATCTTATCGTGTATAACACCACCAACGAGATCAGCTACAAGGTCCTCGTGAACTCTGGAAAATGCGTCACCTCCCTTTTCAGAAAGACCGTGAGCGTCCGCTCTCTCTCTCTCTCTCTCTCTCTCTCTCTCTCTCTCTCTCTCTCTCTCTCTCGCTATTCTGACATTTCCTCGCACAATCGTGGTACAGTTGGTGGACATGTGTGAGGCACTCCTTCTTGAGGCGAAGTGGTACAACGGAGGGATCGTCCCGAGCGTAGAAGAGTATCTGAGAAACGGTATCACCTCGGCGGGGACTTACGTGGTTTTCTTGCAGTCCTTCCTCCTCCTTGGGTGCCCCGTCTCGGAGGAGAGCTTACGTCTAGTCTGCAGTCGCGACGGCCTGTTCTCTCACAGCGGCAGGATCCTCCGGCTCTGGAACGACCTAGGAACAGCCAAGGTATATTTCCCGCCAATTCCGCCTCAATAAAGAGAAGTCCTATGTAAGATTATTATCAAATATAACCGAGCAGTCTCAACTGGTTCGAGGTTTGATTATTCGGCTATCAGAACCTTGACTCTCCACGTCGACGTGCTGCAGGCGGAACAACAAAGAGGCGACGTGGCTTCAAGCATAGAGTGCTACATGCAAGAAAGAGGTCTCGCGGACGACGAGGATGCCCGCAGGCACATCAGAGGGCTGATAAGCACCGCCTGGAAGGATCTCAACGGGGATGCGTTGGCTGCGTCGCCCTTGCCCTTCACCGTCGTTAACGGCTGTTTCAACCTCGCGCGATTGTCTCAGTGCTTTTACCGATACGGCGACGACCCCAAGGCCCCAAGCGTGGAGGACATAGTAAAGGCATTGTTCTTGAAGCCCGTCAAGTAGGAGACGATAGAGAAGCCTTTTGCTTAATTGCTAGATATTTTGCTTACGTTTGACTTGGATTAATTTAAGTTGCTTGCGACGCTGATGTTGACTACGATCGACACCATAATGAATATCTTGGTAGTTTGAGTCCATTCTTGCGGTCCTGAGCATAGATGCGCCCACAAACCGAGTTGGACTTTTCCCACTTAACTGGAATACACGTGAAGAGACTGACTTCTGATGTGATTCTAAGTTGTTATTAGAATCATCAATCAATTTTAATAATTTATAGAACTAGATTCACCCAAAAAAAATAAAAATTTAAATAGATATAGTGGTGAGCTAGGTCATCTCCTCAGGGAAGGCTTTTTAAAAATCTTTTTATTCTCTAATGTAATGAATTATGAAATTGATTAGAAGATTTAAATTAATATTCAAAGTAATAAAGGAAATAAAATGGTAAATAAATGTAAGTACGAATTTAAAAATTAAATGAATTTAAATGAGCAAACTAAATATGCTTTGGAATGATAAAAATAGAACAAAAATAAGTAAAGAAATAATTAAACCTAAAAAAATAAAATTATTTCACAGATCAAAGAAGAAAATAATGAAACCTCTATTAAAAATCAAACTTACAACTCTTAGAATGCATGACTTGATGTCAACCTATGGGTAGCGCTTCTCAGTCTTGCATCTAGTTCAAGGTGAAAAAGCCAGAGAAGAATAATCAAAATCAATAATGCACTGAGATTCCTATTTTCACATGAGAAAGAAGAACAATATTTTCTCTCTAGAACAACCCAAGCACAACTATGAAAATAGCCTCCTTTCTCTCCCCTCTTCCTCCTTTTTGTACCCCAGATCCACAAATCACGTTTTCTGTTTTGACTTCCTATTTTCTGTTATATTTTGTCGATTTTTCTCTGATTTTTCTGGCATTTTTCTATTTTCTCGTGCAGTGATAATCAATATTATCTGTTTTACCAGATGATAATTGATATTTGAACATATACCCTTCCACACGTGTGAGAGAATAATCGATATCATCTATTTTACCAGATGATAATTGATATTTGTAAAGATATCCTCTAACTCGTGGTTCGATGAAGAACATTGGATCCTTGCACCGTCATTTTGCTATGAAGAGGGGTGACGGGGCCCAATAATTGTCGTTATACTCCATTGGCAAGAGCATAGGCTTTATCGGGATCCATGTGCACCGGATGCCATGATAGCCACCATTGGATTTAACGGCTACTTTTCGTGCATTTATGGCTACAACATGGCATCTTCTAGATTGTCGGATCTGCTAGCGGTCACTACTGGATCTTGGAGCTACTTTTTCATATGACGGCAGTAGTGATGTGGCTTCATGTGATGCGTCAAATCTGACCACTACTATCACGCTATCGTCACATCTAAAAAGAATAACAAGATATATTTAGTAGATTTATGTGTGTTATCATATATACTAATCATGACCTCTGATTATATTTATTTTAATGCCTAAAATTTTCCAAAAAATTCATAAACTATATTTCAATTAATTATCATAATTTAAGACAATAAATTTTTTAAAAATAAAATAAATGAAAATTAACCCTCAAGATATGAAATAAATTCTCATCAATTTTCTTTTTATTCATAAAATACCAATTTAAATTAAGATTTAGAGAGGTTCATTTAAATAACAAAAAAAATAATTAACATGATAACTTGTGAAATATTTCTGAAATATGCATTCTTCTCCCTGATTTGATAATAGATTAACATATAGTTTTCACAAGTTATCACATCCCCAACTTGAATCATTGCTAGTCCCTAAGCAATGAAAATAAAACATATATGTAAAAATTAAGAAACATCATCAAGTAATCATGGATCAATTATATATCAGAGCTAATATGAGATAACCTTCTCAAATGATTATATGATCTATGCCAAGCATAGGTAGTAAAACTACCTTTGGTATAAAAATATTTCCTAAGGTATATACTTCAAACATTTTCATAGTTTTAAGCATGTTTCTTAGTACTCTACATATAATAATAATTGTACTACATAAATAAGGAAAAGAATTCACCTCATCAAGAAATAGCATTGATAGATACCTTACACTATAAATGATATGCATGGGATAACGATTGTGTCAAATCTTGTATAAAAATGGCTATATATAAAATAGCTAAGGCACATGAAAAGTAATTTTAAAAAATCAGTAAATAATTCAGATTAATTTAAAATCACATAAATTTAAATTTATAAAACTAGAAAATCTCAATTTTTGAGTATTTACAAGTATTTCTCAACAAATATATCAATTATAATTCAATAAAAGTTCCAAAACTAGTGAGAATTTTCTAGGTCAATCATAAGGATGTAATATAATATTAAAAACTTTTTCAGAATTATTTTTAAAAAATATAATTTTTTATGAATTTTAGATTGACGTGACTTCATCATTGTATCATAAATCACATAAATTTAAATTTATAAAACTAGAAAATATCAATTTTTGGATATTTAGAAATATTTTTAAAAAATATATCAATATAATTCAATAAAACTTCCAAAAATAGAGATAATTTTCCAAGTCGATCATAGGGATGTAATATAATATCAGGTATTTTTTTAGAATTTTTCTCACAAAATACAACTTTTTATGAATTTTATATTAATAAATAAAAATAAAATATATTTAAAATTTATGAAAAAGGAAAATAAGGGTGTGGATATCAAGATGACGTTAGCACTTGACGAACACAAATCCAACAGAAGTAGAGTTCTACCTAATGATTCTTACGTAAGTAATTACAAATGATTTAATTGATCAAACTAAGATCTATAAAAGCCGAAAGAATTATAGTTGAATAAAGTATAACTTAGTAAATTTAAATCACACAAAGTATCACTAAATGAAGTGAAAATAAGTTGAAAGTAGGAAAACAGAGTTCCAACATCATGGCAGCAATGCGTCGGTGATGCATCAGAATCTTGAGCATTTGAGAGGATCATCATGTAGTGTCTGTAGTCTCGAAGGTTTTCTTTGGACAAGGACAACGTAGGCAATCTCTAGATCTCTTTGTAAAGTCTAGAGATCAATGAAATAGGTCATTAAATCATCTTTGACGGCTATCACCTGGTAAAATAAAAAAATGGTGACTTTGCGGCTCTTTGACAGCTATCACCTAACAGAGAAGAGTTGAATGGAGGTGGGGCGTGTGTTAGGGAGCTTCATCTTTAAGTTCGTGCAACAAGAGAAGACTCTTCATCGCATCCGATACGCTCTCAAGAGGTGGCGACTCATCTTCTGGTGGATCGTTCAACAATTTTAATAACATTAGTCCATAAATTTTGTTGACGAGATTTTCGTCGATGATCTAGTGATTTTGATGGCTTAATCCTTCACTAGTGATCTGTAGAAAAGTCGCGATAACCAAATAAAAATACGAGTTTTGGCTTTAAGAGGATTCGAACCCACGCTAATTGCCCACCTATATGAGAGAGATTGAAATAAGTATTGTAATGCCCTTATCAAGTGACGTCATCATTATATATCTCTAATATAACGAAGGGATAGTTTAGGTATTAAAATCTTCAAAGCCTTTCAGAGGAAGATGTGATGTAGATTTAGTCGTACATCACTTGTGTGCCAAATTTTTGAGTAAATATATAATAATATCATATTTGTAAATAATGAGTTTCGTTCTCTCGCATGTATGCCCACTCTTTGCCTCACAACTGATTGGCCATAGGTAACATGAAAGGGGAGTGGCACACACGTGTCTCCATCAGTCCTAACTGCTCAAGCTTCTACTCACAACTCCCTCCGACTATGCTTCCAACCTATTTGTGGGCCCTGTTGGCTGACAAGTCCCCCCCGTTTGCTATATTTTTATTCTTATTTCTTTTTCTTCATTTATCTCAAAAATATGACTATAAAAATTATATAAATTTGTAAAAAATCAAATAATTAGCCAAAAATTCATGTTAATCAATTGAAAACTAATTTTTATAATTTAACACAAATATAAGTCTATTTATCATGATTTAAAGTTAAAACTATATTATTTACTAAATATTAACTCATGATAATG